TATACATATATGTATATGAATGATTATTGCAGTAAACAGATAGTGTGTATATTTAAGAAATCTTCTAACAATTTAGTTCTCCCTAGTCACTTACACATCATCTTGCTTTGTTTTTTTTTCTATTTTTGTTCTTTTAACTAAACAATGAATTCTAGACACACATGTAAACATTTTTTCTTTTTAAACATTGATCTCTTGTCGTAGTTTGATTTTACGCAATCTGATTTTTCGTCTGAGAAATTATTTGGAATTATAAATAATATTATGTCAGCTTTTGCTGTTGTATCTTTGTTTTTCTTTTTCTTCTATATTTTGAACAAATTTTATTATATCTATATAAATAAAAACAAATACAGTTGACTGAAATGAATATTTCGTTGTAATTTTCTAACGAATCGCGCTAAATAGTTAATCTGAAATATAGTGGATTTAAATACGGAAATTAATGAATAGTTTTCATCATGTATTAAGCTAAAAAACGAATAGATTATCAAAAGAAAAAATATTTTGTTTACAAAAGTTAAACTAATGAATAATATCACAGCGAGAACACTGTAAATGGAAAGTCTTGGTTAAAATTTTGAATAAAAAAACGATTGTTGTAGCACAAGAACAACTGCACATACTAAAAACTACTAACAACTAATATTTTAAAGATAACTATCATCTTGTCCATTTGGTTTTTTGTACGGCGGTGGTGGTGGCGGTGGTCTTGATGGTGTTGGATCGTTTAAATAAACATTTGGTCCATCTGTAGTTGTTCGTGAAGTATTATTATCGGGTTCTAAATATGAATCTTGATAATAACCTGGATCAACAGTTGTTGTCGGACGAAAATTAACATTTTCATAACGACGAGCATTTCCTGAAGTATCATTATCATTAATTGCATTTTCACTATCAAATGAAGGAAGATCACTAACACCTTGAACTTCACCAAAACTCTCAATATTTTCATCGGATATATTTTCTTCTTGATATCGATTATATTCTGATCGATAATACTATATAAAGTTAACATAAAGAATAATTAATAAATTTCATACGAAAATAAAATGTAATTACTTGAAATGCTTGTTTTGATAACATTTTTGAATGACATAAAAGAGCACGAATTCGTGTCATTTCTGGACGACTATTTTCTTCAACAAGACAAATACTAATAATTGCATCACTAATTCAAATATTCAAAAAACAATTTTCAAAATGTACAAAAAGAAAAAAACAACAATAGAAATAGATTCTTACATATCTCGTGGAATTTCTTGATGATAATTAATATATTGACGAACACGACCTTCACTTATAACAAGAGCAAGTCGATGAAAGAAACTTCCACCATCAGATGTTTTTTCCATTTCATCCAAAAGCTTACTGAATGGCCGAATTCGACCTTATAAAACAACATTATATTAATAGTGTGATATCAAATAAATACTTACATTTAAGAAATAGTGTCCAAAGAAATATACCAAATGACCATCTATTTATTAAATGAAAATGAAAATTAATAAGAGAATAAATTAAACTTACACATCAGATTTAATTGATAATTTATTTAATAATTGTCGATCATCTGGACTGGATGCACGTAAAAAAGTTTTAGCGAGTTCTGGTGTTAAATTATGTGTCGCAATTTCATTCTATTTGAAAAGAAAAATATTTTATACCTATAAAACAAATAATTTGTCTATCCGTGATTATGCATCATCTCTTTCGATCTAATATCAAAACATCCTCAGATTTTAATGAATCAGATCAAAATTACTATGCTCTATCTAAATAGATAAAATCATATTGCAATAAAGGTGTATACAACCTGTTGTTAAATATGAATTACTTACTCCTGATTGAGCTACTGTATTTAGAAAAATCTGATAAGAATATATCTAAGTGTTCTCTTATAATACATACATTTTTCTTTTCAAGTTGTACACTTTCATGTTGTGCAAGTTGTTCACGATAATTTTTATAAGTTGTCCATGTTGCTAAACTATATAAACATTTATTTTTTAAAAATTTTCAATTAGACAGTACAAAAAAAAGTAATATTCAATTTCATACCCAAAATCACATATTTTCATAATAAATCTTGATGTAACTAAAACATTTCTTGATGCAATATCACAATGAGCTATTTGTCTTCGATTTAAATAATCAACTCCACAAGCCACTTGATAAGCAATTAATTTTAAATCATCATCAGTTAATAAACATTCTTCATGTGCTTGTTTAACTGTCATATCGGGTTCGGTTTGTTTTGAAAGTGTTTCATATAATGATAATTTTCCATGAGTTGCTGAATTTTGTATTGGTTGATTAAAATATTTAAGCATTGATTCAAGTGAACCATTTGAACAAAGTTCCATTAAATAAAATGAATCTTCATCTCGAATAGGTCCACCAAGAAACATAAATTTAAATTTTGCTTCAGGATATGCAACTTTTTTTAATGCAACTATATTAACATGTTTACCAGCTTTATGCATAACTTTGATTTCATCAATTAACATTTCAGCTGCTTTTTTCTTTTGAATATCATGTTTAGATAACATTTCTACATTTTCTTCATCAATATCAGTACTTTTTTTACGATCATCACGACGACGTTCATTATTACGTATTGTTTCTGGTAAAGTCTTTGCTGCAACAAGACCAACCTCTGGTAAACGTACTTGATAAACAATACCGAATTGACCATGACCTAATTCTTTAAAATCATCTTTTGCCATGGGTAGTGTCTCATGATTAATATAACTAAGAAATGTACGAATTTGTTCTGTTGTAGCAAAATTTTCCGGTAATGGAGTTTGTATTAATCCATGAAACATACTTCCTTGAACATTACGTCTCATTCGAATATATTTTATAATGAAGATTAATAATAATACAATCATAATAAGAAGAAGTAAAGCAGATATAATAACAATCATAGCTGTAAAACGACTCATTTTTGAATATGGATTAGAACCTAAACAAAAAATGGTGTAAAAAATATATATGACAAAGATTTGAATTTTACCTTTAACTCGTAAATCAAAACTTCGTTGAAGTGGAGCATCACGACCATTGTTTAGTTCACATGTATAATAACCAGTATCAGATGGTTGGGCACGAGTAATCGAAATACTATTATAAATATAAACTTAGTTAATTTACTTTCAGGATTATTCATTGATTAGATCAATCTAGTATTTCAAACAAATGATAATAAGTTCAAGTGATATCAATTAACTTCTTTATACATTCTGAGTTTCCAGGAGCGGATCTCGATATTGGCGGCGTGGAAAAACAAGTCGAATTTCATATTTATGAGCGAAATGGTCAATATTTAGCTCAAAGGATGTTACCTTTACTTTTCTGATGTTTTGTATTCTCTTTCTAATAGTGTGCAATAGAAATCTTTTCATCTAACGATAAATTCTACTGACCTTCCATTATTATCTCCAAATTGTAACGTTGAATCATCATTTTTCAATGGTAATTTTCCTTTCAACCAAACTAATTTCGGTTTTGGTCGTCCATTAAATTGACAATCAAGTTCGACATTATCACCTACTTTACGATCTAATTTCGATACTAATTGTAAATTATTTTTAAATTCTAATAATTCTGGATCTATAATAAACGAAAATTTGTTCAGAAAGAAAAATCAGTCATTATTTTCATTTCAATTTACCATCAACATTGATCTTATAAGTATCATTTGCATTCGGAATAACATCCGGTCGTTTAGATATAGCAATACATTGAAAATATCCATTATTACCAATCATTCTTAATGGTCCTGTTTTAACTTCAATTGCTGTACTTTGAATTTGTTCACTAATATAAAAAAATATAATTTCAGAAAAAAAAATTTTTTTTATCTAATACTTTAATGGTAAATTCCAAGTAACATCAACTTGTTTTATTTGATTAGTTCCAACAATACGCCATCCAGGATCAAAACGATTTCGCTCATATGTAAAAAATTTATCATTATAAATCATACGAAGATCATCATAGATTAAATCATGACTTTCACAACGATATGTTAAAATATCACCGGTAACTAAACTAAATTCTGGTTTATGAATATTAAACATATTACGATTTTGTGATAAAATTGTTATGGCTTTAGCAATATTAATTAAACCATTCTGTTCATAACAACAAAGATATTGATAACCAATTGTTGGATTATCAATCGTCTGAGATGTACTACTAATAAATTGTGTTTGATAATCATTTATACGATTAGATGTAATGCTTAGGATATTTTGATTTGATGTTATTTGACATGTTTGATCAATTAAATTTGATAGACAATTATCAATTGAACATTGAGAATATTTAATAAATATATTCAATGGTCGATTAATATCAGAACGATGACGTATTGTACAAGCAATACGATATGATTCACGTTCAAATACACCATAAGGATATATATTTACTTTGTTATTAGAATTTTCATTTCGCCATGGAATATTATGTGGTATTTGTTCAGGAACAAATGATAATTGACCAACAGGATTTCCTTTAAAATATAAAAAATTATAAATTGAAGAATAAAAATTATTTTTACCTATAATATTCGGTTTAATGACAACTGTTTTTTCTGATGCTGATGATTTTGCAGTAATTTTTAAATCTGTTTCATCTTCAAATGTCATATTATAAATAGTTAATGAATATTCAAAAAATTGATTTTCTTGATTAGTGCTAAAATACGAAAAAAAACCCAAAAAAATTAATTTATTTATTTGTTAAACTTACCTAAGTAATAATTCAAATCGTTTATCATTCATTAATGAGATACCATTTCGTGATAGATCAAGAACAATAGATGAACGTGGAATTGTAAAAATACTTATATCATAAATACTATTTGATCCATAGGAAATCTTATCATTAGTATCAGCTCCATTTAAATTAATTTCAAGATCAAGTGATGGTGCTAAAACATATATATATATATAATAAGATCTCAATTGATGGAATCTCGAAAGAGTTCGTTTTGTTTTCAAACATCAATCCGCATACCCTTCTCGAACTTTTAGTATAATTTTTATAATACATACTATCAGTGCAAGTAATATCAACAGAACGTGAATAAAGACCTTGATCAGATATTCGTACACAATAAAATCGATAAACTTTATTTGATTTAAAACCACGTAATGTTATTGAACTATTTCGACTATTGACTTGTGTTTGAAGATTAAATACTGGTTTTTCCGTTTGATTTGATATTAAATTAAGCTAAATAAAATAAGAATTACTGTTTTTTTCTTTGTCGTGAAAAATTATTATTTTACATTGTAAATATCTTCAAACCAGAAGAGAATGGGTATTTTTCGATCAACTTTTGTTCCATATTGAATTTCACAACTTAATCTTACAGTTTCATCACTCATAACAGTTAAACTTGGCTGATGAATTTGTACATATTCAGCTAAAAATTAAAAATTTCAAATGTAATTTTACATCGATACTTTAAAGCAAAAAAAGTTAAGTCTTACGATCATATGTATTATAGGGAACTTTTGATTGTTGACTTGGTGTATAATTACTCATACAAGTAAAATAGGGCAATACACTTGGTATTGTTGGATTTTCAAGTGCAAAACCAATCTGTGGATCAAAGAAGACTTTCTAAAACAAGAATAAAATTATATTTCTATTGTTATTACAATAACTTCAAGTCAAACTTCTGGTTTTAAATCAATTGGTGTATAATAAACTGGAATACAAATGTCTTGCCCATCACATACAGGTGTGTTACAACTAAGTTCATTGGCTTGACGTTCTTTTGAATTACATTGACGTAATTGACATTGTTTAGAATTCGATGGTATAGAACATGATATTCGTGGATACCAGCTTGTAGTTTGACATGGTAAGTTAAAAAAATGAATACCTGTTTGTTTAAATACGGTCGGATAAACTGTTTCAGTAAAAACAGATTTTCCATCTAAGAAAATAGATTATTAAAAGTTTTCTTCTAAAGATATAATAAAATCTATACCTTGAATAAATACATGAACAGTTGCTTCATATTTTTTATCATTAATTATTTCTGAACATGTATAACGTCCAACGAGATTTGACGTCAATTCATTTCTTCGTAGTGTAGTAGTGATTATATTTGTGTTATAATCAGTATCCAAAGACAAATACTAAAGAAGAAATTCTCAACTATTGGATTTTTTGTTCATCATTTGTAATAAAGATTTTTATTTGAATTTTCTATAAAATTCGAGTAATTGTGAAGAATATCTTGGACGAAAACAACATCGAGATTAAATCGATAAATATTTTATCAGTAACAAATAAGAATATACTATTTCATGAATCAATAAAAGGATTAACGATAGAGATATTTATTTTAATTTTTCGTGAAGTAAAATTTCTTTTGAAAAAGAATAGAATTTTTAAGGGAATTAACCTTTCCGAACAAATGTCATGCGGAAATAGAAAAACAGATAATTATTTATCATGATTCAACCAGTAGTTCCAATTATGCGATGTCTCTGTGGATGATCTGAGATTTAAATCGAAATGGGGAAATAAGAGTCTGATTTTCGAGTGCTCTTCTATCGACAGATAATATTCAAAATTTAAAGACATATTGCTGTTCTCTTAACAACTGGCAATAATCAATACTATACTATGTCATTTAAGAATATCTATGAATTACTTTAGTTGCAGATGTTGGAACAGTAAATTGAATTGCTTTCGTCGTTCCTTTACATCGTAAAAAATATGGTAGATCATCTTGAATTGCTTTTGCATGAAATTGAAGTTCATTTGGAACGATATAATATCGAAAGATGGAATCAATTGAATCAATATCTTTTCTTAAACGTTCTTCAATATGTTGATTAGGAGGATATTCAATTTTAACACCTATTCATTAAATATATAATTATATATTTCAAAATTAATATATATTAAATTACTTTCATGAATAACAAATAATATCAAGATAAATAATATTCGAAACATATTTTTATCAAAATGAAAAAGAAACTACTCAACCATTTAAAAATAAAATGTAAAGTGAACTATTGATTCTGTTCTGTTTTTATGAGTATATCGTGATTCATATTATAGCTGACATCTAGTGGTGATGATTAGTATTCGTTCGTTCGTTAGAAACTGTGAATAATGATAACATTATGTTAAACAGATCGATTGATCAGTCGATCAATTACATCTGTTTATTGTTCAAATAAACAATATTTGAAATTATTATTATATATCAATAAATATTGATTTATTTACGAAGAATCATGTTGCCCTACAGTATGAATTAAAAATAATTTTCTTAATAGTCTGTTTGACTTCTTTTAAGTTGAAATAATTTATTTAATGTTTCTATTTAGATTAGAATATGAAGTAACGTTAGAAAACTTCAATTCACAATACCTTTTTTAATAAAAGAAAAAATTTTAACATTACGATTATTAGTTTTGAAAAAGAAAGGATTGCGACCTTGACATCTTTTTAAATTATCCTTATAGAAACACAAATATATTATCGAATTTGAATAAAAACTGGTGTTTAATATTCTTAAATATATAATATCGATATAAAGTGTAGTCTTGGTTACAATTTTTGCAATTTTTTTATTAAAAAAATTAAACTTTTATGAGGTTATTTGACTTGCTAATGTTTTAGAATTTTAAATAAATGACTAGCTTTCTTTAGAAATAAAAGCGATGTTTACAATTTATGTATACCATGTCACTTTCTGGAAATGTTTGATATGCAAAAAACAGTATCTTAGATAACTATTTTAATGTGACATGTTGGAATTTAACATATGTTTTCAATTCTTCGGGTACTTATTTTGAAGCATGGTTAAAATCAGTGAAAAAAAATAATAGATTATATATATATGAAAATTCAGTTCGAAGTCAGTTAAAATAAATACAATAAATTTTATTTATCGAAGATCGTTTTGATTGTTTTATTTATTTTTCTTTTATTTTAGATAATGAATAAAACAACAGATGCTTCAACAACTATTGATCAAGAACTTTATCCAGCTCTTATTCAATGTTTTTTTATAATAAGTGCTGGTTATATAGCTGGTCAACTTAATCTTTTAACAAATTCTCATTCAATTGGTCTTTCTCGTTATATAAGTAATTTTGCGTTACCAGCTGTTATATTTAAGAATCTCGTTGATATACAATTTCAAAATATCTCATGGCAATTTCTTACATCTGTATTAATTAGTAAAACAATTTTATTCTTTTTAACAATTCTCTTAGCATATATAGCTGAACGTCCAAGAAATTATGCAAGTATGGGTCATTATGGTATAATAACAACACAGAGTAATGATTTTGCACTTATATTACCTATAATCGAAGCTGTATATAAAGAATCTCATCCTGAATATAGTCGATATGTTTATTTAATAGCACCTATATCACTTGTTATACTTAATCCTATTGGATTTTTTTTAATTGAAATTCAAAAACGTATTGATGATCAACGAAAACATCGAGAGAAATCTTGGCAACATTTACAATTAATATCATCAGTTTTTCAAAACATATGTTGTAATCCAATTGTTATATGTACTATACTCGGTATTATATTCAATTATATATTCAATCAACATTTACCAAATACACTTGAATATATTTTAACACCATTATCTCAATCATTTACAGCAACAGCTTTATTTTATCTTGGTTTAACAATGGTTGGAAAATTAAATCGTTTACATGCACATCTTGTTATTACAGTTTTTCTTCTTAGTATTATCAAATTAGTTATATTTCCATTAATTTTACGACAAGCAGTTTTTTTTCTTGTTAAACCAATCAATGGAAGTTTACATAATACAATTGATTATTCAAATTTAGGTTTTCTATATGGAACAGCACCTACAGCACCATCTGTAGTATTTTATGTTCCAGAAACAATGTTAGGTTTACAAACAATTGCATCAACGGAACTTGTTATTTCAACTTTACTTGCAGGACCCATTATGCTTGTTTCAGCAAAAATGATAAATTTACATACACTTGATCTTGGAACAACTCAATTATATGAAATATTATTAACTAAAACAGCATTTGATGTTAGTATACTATCATTATTTTGTACAATTATTGTTCTTATTGGATTTTGTTTACGACATCGACGATTCAAAATATCTTTTATTCATAAATATACATTTGTTTGTGTTGGCCTACAAATGATATTAGCTATTTGGACAATTATCATGCATTATGTTAAACAACCTTTATTGTCAACAACATCAACAATATTCGATTTAGGTAAACATAAATTGTTTGTTTACTTGCTTGTGCGTCCGCACAGTGAAAAAGACATCTCTTGAGGTATTTCGATGTGGGAACTTGGAATCTGAGGCCTGTTGGGTGATTAAGATGAAGAGACAACGGTAAAAACAACATCAAAGGGCGATTTTTCACGATTTTCAATGGTTTTTCTAGTAAATGTGAAAAGATTGCATTTCTACGAGAAAGAGCTAAGCGAGTCCTTGGACGACCGTTACTTGTTTATTTTAATGATAATGAATATTGTTTTTTAGGTAGTATTTTCATAGCATTAGCTACTCGAACATGGGTAACAAGTCTTTCAATAGCCTTAATGATAACTACATGTCATTCAAATGAATTAGCACGTCGATGTTCTTGGATATATCATGTATTTGGATGGTTTATACCAGCATCGATATCATTAATAATCTATTTTTCTGCATTGTTTGGTCCAACAGAAGAAATATCACTATTAGGAGTAGAAAAACTCGGAAAAATTCAAGTTATTTTATCAATATTATTACTTGCTTTCTGTACTTTAATCAATACAATAAGTCTTCTTCGTATTGCACGTCGAACATATCGATTACGACACGACTCAACTGATAGTCATTCTCATAATAATCATTCAGATTTTGTAAGAAATGAAGTACAACCATTAATGGTCGATGAAGATGATCAAACATTTATACCACCTTTTATTCCCGACGGTAATTTTTTTCATTATATCACTTTTTATTAATAAATTTTCTCCAGAAATCAAAACGTTAGAGGGTGATAAACAATTATTTCGTCATGCAATACTTGTTGCTCTATTGACGATTGATGCTGTTATTGTAAGTATTTTGTTTGAAAAAATACTCAAACAAAGATCTTTTATTTTCTTTCTAAATAATAGTGCGTATCAATATTATTATGGGTATTGATATCACATGATCGTAATGGTATTTATTATGAATTACAATTTTTAGACACAGTTCTATTGTATGGACAAGTAGGATATTCAATTTATATATATTTTTTTGCAAAATTTTATGTTTTTTAGGGTATTATGACGTTTCTTGTCTTTGCATTAGATGCTGATTTACTTGTACCTATAAAACGAAAGTATGATAGAATATTGAATAATAATAAAAGAAAGAATTTATGTATAATATTAAATTTTAGAATTATGAAAATATTATCTTGTTTTGGATATAATACAAATCGTCCTCAAGATCCAATTAGAAATCGATCGATTGAAAATAACGATTCATTGGATTTTGAACTTCAAATCCGACCAAATTTTACTCGTCAATCAAAGTAAGAATAATTTTCTCGAAAAAATTTTACTAAACATAATTTTTCCATAAAACAGTTTTCGAATGGAATCATCATGTATGTATATCTATTGTGCTATTAATTTTAATTAGCTTTTTTTAAATGGATTGTAATTTTATTGTACATAAATGATATTCTTATGTGAATTTAAATAATTCATCTTACATTTCGAGTTAAAAACTATAGCTAAATTTTGAGAATCTATTTCGAGATATTCTATTTTATAATTCCAAAATAAAACGAATATTGAACATCTGATTGTAATTTGGAAACATTTTTATTTAGAATGAATACATCTTCTGAAACGACCTTCGACGGAAATGAGTTTTGTCAATGGCTTATCACAAATAGTTATCTAGAGAATGCTTCAATGGCTCGAGCTTATCTTCAACAGTTAATCGATAATCAACAGATTATTTCTATTAATCAAAATACTGACGATACTGATCTATTATCAAATTGGTATGCTTTTTCTAAATAGAAAAAGCTACCAAATTTAAGCATCTATTCAAAAGTTTTTTTAGTAGTTTTTGCATGTATACCGGTGAACTTTTTTTTTGTACACTGTTGTTTGATTATTTTTTTTTATTATAAACGATACAAGAAAATAATGCGGGAAGAAGCTTTTGTTTTTTTCAAATGAATTATCAATGTCGATCAACGAAAATACCAGTAAAAACATGTACGACTATTTGTGATTGTCAATTGTCAAGTGTACCTATGAAACAACGTTTTATTGAGCCTATTTTTCAGGTAGGATATGATTATTTTCAGAATAAATATGAAGGTTTTCAATAGGCTTATGTAAAAAAGCCTGATTCAAAACCATTACACTGTCTTTCAAATAAATGTGATACTTGTTTAAGTGAATATTTTGATAAAAGACTTCAAGGAAGTTATAAACAAATTTTTCATGAACAAAAAGATACATTAGAAATGGCTAGACCAACTGCTATTGTTTCATCACCATCTATAACTTTAACGGATAATCAAATGATGGTTATGCAAGATGAAGCCATCGGAAAATTACAAGAAGATAAAAAAGAAATTCGTAAACGATATGCTCTTATGCAAATGGATGATGGTGTTTTTATTCTTGGTGGATATATTGTCGATAATGAAACAGGAGAAAAAAGAGCACCTAAACGTGATTATTTGTAAGTCATAGAAAAATATGAGTACTCTTTATCAAATGATCGTTTAAATGTATACGAATCATTTTATTATTTGATTAAAGTCATTCGATGAGAAACATGAGAATTTATTCCTTAATTTTTTAGATTTGTTTACTGTATGAAATGTAATCGTATATATGCTATTTGTGAAATGACATTTCTGAAATAGAATCCAATTTCAAAATGCCCTTTTGTAATTAATATCAGTAATAAAATGTCATTGGTATATAGTTACAATAATACCAGCAAAGAACTAATCTCAATTCCACCTTTACCTGGTAATGGTCGAATGGGTTTTGGATTAGCAGCAACGGATGATAATAAAATTATTGTTGCTGGTGGACATAATTTTGATTATGAACCAATGTCAAATGTGACAATGCTTGATACACAAACAAATAATTTCAAATGGGAAAATTTACCTGATATGTACAGTAAGCTTATCTATTTAAGAAAAAAAAAGAATAAGATAACATATAGTTCTTATTGTTTAAGATGGAACTATTGGTCCAGGTGTTAGTGTTATTGATAATATTCTATATGTTATTGGTGGATTTGATTTTATTGAACATGATATATTATGTAATGGGTGAGAAATAAAAAATAAAATATTCTCGAAAATATATATATTATATTTATGATTATACATAGTGATGTACTTTTATTGGATCTTGAAAAGAAACAATGGAAAACATTACCTGATATTGATCCTCCAAGAGCTCGACCATTAATTAGTATCGTCGACAATACAGATCCACCGTAAATTCTCTCATTATTTTATCTATCGATGAGTTTTTTTTATTCTTCTATAGAGTATTAGTTATTGCTGGTGGTTATAATTTTAATAAGCAAGGTAAAGCTGCACCACGTACGTGATTATTTATCAAATTTTTATATCGTATAATTATTTCGTTGTATTTTAGATGGTAAAATTGAAGAATATAATATTAAAAAGAAACAATGGGAAGTCATTGGTGATATTCCTAATTTTAAAACAACGAATGGTCTTGCAACTAAAAATAATAAATTGTACGAATAATAAATATATGTTCATTTCCTCTTAGTTCTTGATTTACATAGATTTTTAATGGAAACATCATTTGAAACAGGTGAAAATCGTGTTATTAAAGAATATAATCTTGAAACACATAAATGGGAAAGTTCACATAATATCAAACAATCATCTGATCATCATATTGAAAAGAATAAATCACGAACAAAAAGTGAACATGAACGACATTTATCATAACTTTTAAATATTGATCTATATGTCTGTTTTTTTCAAAAGATCAATGAGTAAAAGGGTCTCTTCTTTTTTTTCATTATTATTATGACGCAAATTAATACAGGTTCTTTTCTTTTCTTCTTTTTCGGTCTACGCATGAATCAACTGTTTTATTCTTTGCGCTTGTCAGTGACTTTTTATCAACGAGAAAAAAAATGATTGAGTATTACATTTGTTTTCTTACAGTCATAATACGTAATATCAAAAAAAAATGCGATTCAGTCTATCGTCTTCATGATGATGATAAGTAAGTTTACAACAGAATAATGAACTGAAATGTTGACTTATCATAAATTAGGTATCAGCTGGAGATTTATTAAATAAATTTGACGTATATTCTTTCTTATTCTCTATCTGCAGAATTTCAACTAACTTTAATATTCTTGATAAAAATGATCATTGAATAAATTCGTTTATTTATCATAGATTTGATGTTAATATCTATATTTTATTCTCTGATATGAAATTTATCTACAACTTTCAATCTGCCCTCATGTCACTCTCCCACACTGTCGTTCTTTGTCTATTTTTTTCCTTTCTTATATGTTAAGCATATACATGCATAAGCTGTCGTGTCGCTATTCTATTTTCTAGGGGTAATCATTGCATATTTTTCTAAACGTCACACTCGCATGTTATATTTTCCGTTCTGTTAAAATAAGTAGTAAAAAGAATATTATTATTAATGTTAAAGAAAATAATATTTTAGATAGTACATTGGTATCTTTTTTCTTTCTTAAAATAATAAATCAATCTATGGGTTCAAAATTAAGTCGACATAATGCAGATGGTAATGGTGAACATTTAAGTAAAGAAACAATCGAAGAACTTTGCCAAGATACTGGATTTAGTGAAGAAGAATTACTAACTTGGCACACGTGAGTGACGATTTTTTGTTTTTCTACTCTTAAAATAATATTATATTCATTTTAGAAATTTTTATACCGATTGTCCTGATGGTAAATTAACGTTAAAACAATTCGAACATGAATATTCGAAAATAATGGGAAAACCTACACAAAAAACATCGGAATATGTTAAACATATGTTTAATGTTTATGATGAAGATAAAAATCAATTTATCGATTTTAAGTATGAAAATAAAACGAATATTTTTCTATCTCAGTTTAAGATGATACATAAATAGGATCGGATTTATTATTTTTGACAAAACGACAAGTATAATTTCACGGTTGATATGAAACAGAAAAAGAAAGATATTATCTCAAGTAGACAGTTTTGTAAAAAGGCGTTATTAATCCTGCCTGAATTTTTAATATAATTTGTTTTGTTTTTTTCTAGAGAATTTGTTATGGCATTATCTGCTGCTTCAGTTGTCAATCGTCTTCGTCTTGTTGAAACACTCTTCTGTATATTCGATTTAGATAATGATGGAAGAATTACAAAAGATGAAATGGCTAAAATGTTACATACACTTGTTGATGTAACAAATTCAAGTAGAAAACATCATCAACATCAACATCCACATCATCATAGTAGTAATAATAATAATTATCATGCAAATGAAGATGATTCAACTAAACAAGTTGATTTACAAAAACGTATTGATGATGCATTTGAGGAGTTTAATACAAATGATGATAATCATATAACAAAAGATGAATTTATTGAATGGTATATGAAAACAGGTCTGTTATCAGACGTTAAATCAAATGAAATTAATGTTCATCATACATCACGTTTACAACAACTTGATAAAAAATCTCGAAAAATCAAACAACAAAAATTAAGTGTACATGATAATAAAGATGGAGGTCATCGTCGTCGTAGTTCACTTGTTCGTTATATGTCACATATGATGGAACATAAACCAGTATCAAATTTAGACGACGATGATGATGATAATTCTAATGTTGAAGTTAATCAAAATAACGAAAATAATAATAATGGTGACGATTCAAGAATACGTGCAAGAATAGATTCAGATGATAATGATTCACATTATTCAAAAGAAAATGAACGCTGGCAACATTTATTTAATTCTGTTCTCGGACAAATTCGTGCACAACGTACAAGTGATGGAAATCAACTAGAACAAAATAATTTAGATAATTCTAATCGAATTAGTCACTTTAATTCATGGAAAAAACATGGTGAAGAAAAACTTAAAACAGAATATTTCAAACAAAAATCTAATGATTCTTCATTAACACCTGATGTTGTTAGTATTCGATTCTAAAAAATATTCCCCTAATATAATTACTCTTTTTTTATATTTCTGTCTTCCATATTTAATAATACTTGTGATAGTAATCAATTTTTATTTGAATAACAATTATTTACTTACTTGAAATAAATAATTATCACTTATATATATATATAATCAGTTCTTTCTGTACTATTAAAGTAGAACATAAAAAAATACACCATATTTTTCTTTTCTAAAACATGATCATTGAGTTCTCATATATTAATATTAGAGGGTGTTATTTCATATACCTTTGAACTCGGTATATTTATTTAGCTTTAAATCAGGAAAAAAAATAATCCTTATTACAATGTATCCGCCATAGCTTCGAGAAACTAGTCAAATATAATATTTTTACCTTCAGGCAACGTTGTTTTTATGTTATTTAATTAAAAGAAAACCTAATGTATTTAGCTCTTTAGCCTTGATATTGATATTCTAATTTATGCAGACACATATATAATTTATTTATTAATAATACATCATCATATTGAAAATATTTTATGAAAGATTCTCTCTTGAATATGTTTTCTTTAGATAATCAGTTATTATTAGTAGTAATAAAAATACTTTTGTAATTGACTTATATAGCACACACACACAAAAGGAAAAATAATCTACTTATTTATTAATATTAATTCTTATTTCGTACATAAAATATATAGAGAGAAATATGTTTATTAGATTCTAGCAAGAAATTCACCATTTTTAAGAAAAAAACAAATATCATCGTTAGCCAATAATTTTTCATGGGAACAAATATCATCAATCCATTGATGTAACATTGCTTGAGAATTTGATCTTGGTAATGAAATTGATCGATATTTTCCTGATTTTTGACGTTGATTTTCATCTGATAAACCATTTATTGAATGATGACGTGCTGCTGGACGTGGAGATCTTGTATTATTCAATGCTAAATCATCATGTGTATGAAAACCAACACGAAGTTTTTTTATATATAAATTCACAGCAGGATTATTATGAACGACTATTTCAGAACGATATTGTCCTGGTTCATTTGAATCATTCGTTGTATAACGAATTGGTTTTGAAGAACCACTTATTTTCAATGGAGTAGAATTTATAAAATGTCGTTCTTCAGCTCGACATTCAATACGAATAGGTTGAGATGGAGATTTTCTTTGTTGAAATTGTGGAGGTCGAGATACAAGTATTTCTTCGTCGGAAATAGTCATTGATTAATCTACAAAAATAAACTATAATTTTCTTTCTCTAGTGTACATTCTTGTTTAATATTATGACTTGAAATATAAAAATAGATATAACATATATATATTACATCATAAAATTCTTCTTCTAACACACTCAAAAGTAAATACTATTCTTTTTCTTTTTTACACTTATCAGCGATTGACACTATTGACAGACAAGCACATATATACACCTATACGATTTAATACTGTTATACATAAATCATTTGTGCATATAGCACGTTTAAAAACGATTAGTCTATCGTGATGTTTACAGTTCTATTTTTTCACTTCGATAGCACATTACCTGGCATCAAAAAAAAAATAACAACAACCACCATGTAGGTGATGGTATCAAAAGAAAATGAAAGTCTTACTTGTGCCATTAGAACATACCTTCTTCCATGTTCTTTTTCGATTGGCAATCAATCTTTCTTTCGTTTCTCCTTTTTTTTCCACATTTGTTCTTAATAAATGTATTGAGGAAGAAAGACAGCGAGAGAGCAAGAGAGAGTAAGAGAGACAGTACGAAGAAAAAAGGCGATAAAAAATAAGAGCAAAAACAACCTACCTATTATTAAAAAAAATGAAAAAGACATTTGGCCTTGGTTGTGAATTGATGCCCTTTTTATTTGTTGTGATTGCACGAACAATATTATTTCACTCTATTAGAAATCGATAAATACTACAAGTTTTATTTTTATTAATATTAAGACAACATTTAAAATAAAATATAAGACTAGAGACAAATATAGATAATCAAGGAGAATATATGTATATGTATATAAATCAAACGGGTGTCTATGAACCGAAAACATCGAAAAGATCAGTAAATGCTTGTGTACCAGGTTGTGGAGGTGCTTGACGTGTTGGTTCCCATGCCATTGCTGATTGTGGTCGATTAGCAGGTGGTGCACTGACCTGACTAAAATCACTACCACCAAACATATTTGCTCCAGGTGTTTTCGAACGATGTGCCATAGTATTTTTCATTAATTCATGTGCAGCATCAAAATCACCCGAACGAAATGGATCTGATTCGTCTAATTTTTGATTTGGTATTGCAGCTGATGCTGCTGCTGAAAAGAAGGGATCATCAGCTCGAGCAGTTCCAAATGCATCACTAGTGGTACCAAATGCATTAAATGTATTATTTGTATTTGCAGGTAAACCAAATGGATCTGCGAAAGGTGTTGATTGGGGTGGTGGTGGTTGTTGTTGTTGTTGTTGTGGTGGAGAAGCTATTTTATTGATGACAGCGGGTTGTACTGATTGAATAGGACTATCAGCAAGCTATTAACAAGAAAAATATGAGAATATTCAGTAACTAGTTTTATATTTACTTGTTTAAATCGTTTTGTTAACTCAGCAATAGCTGCTGGCGAATCTTTTTGTTCATTTTTCATATATTCATCAATTAAAGTTCGTTGTCCTTCAACAATATGTTGATAACGTTCAAGATCAAGTTTAATTTGACTTAATTGTTGTTGTTTATTTAAAAGACGATTTTCAATAGTATTTTTTTCTTCTTTTATTTTATTCAATGTTTGACGTATTTCTTGTTGTGCATCAGTTTCAACCGATAAATCATTTATTTTTTCTCGTGCTTTATCAATTAATTGATTTTCTTCTTTTATTTGTTGTTCAATATCTTGAATATCTTTAATTGTTTTATCTTTTCGATTTTGTATATCGCTTAATTCATTTTGTTTTTCTGACATACGTTGTTGACGTTCAACTAATGTTGCATTAACTGTACCAGAACGAAGTTCAAGTGATGATAATTCAGCACGTTTATCTTTAACGGCTTGTTGTTTTTCATTAAATTTTATTTCGCATAAACTTTTCTCACTAGTTAATGCATTTACTTCGCTTAATAATCGTTGTAATTCAGCATTATCACTTTCATTGACGGAAAATGTTTTTGGTCGAAGTGATGGTGGAATCATATCATGTGAAAGTTCCATTGGAATTTGATAATTTGGAGCTAGATATAGAAAAATAAAATTTGAATTGGTATGTATATGAAATAAACAAACAAACCTTGTAATTTAAGACTAATAAAATAGGAAGCTAATGCAAATTGTTCTGCATTAAGTTTTCCAGTTTGACCAATATCACATATATTCCAAATATGTGATAAAACAAAATTTGGTAAACCACTTGCAAGAAATGTTTGAAAAACATCTCCACCTGTAAGAAATCCATCTTTATCAAGATCTAATTGTTGGAATAAAATATCAAATTTTTGTTTTTCTTCTAAACTAACAATCCAATGATCATCAGTTCGTTTCGATGGTGAAACTTGTGATGGTGCTAATGATGGTAACATATTACTAGCTGCTACAATATTTGGTATACTTATTCCAGCTTCAACTCCTGAAACGCGACGCATTCGTATAGGCATTAAATTTGTTGGTAAACGTTCAGGTAATTCTCGAATTGTCGATATTTTTAAACCATGTATAAGAAACATTGCTATAGCAAATTCATTTCTATCAAGTGCACCATCTTCATCAATATCGCTTAATTCCCATATTTTATGTAATTGATCAGCTGATAAACCAGATTTAAGAAAAATTGGTTTAACAGATGAACCAGGTAATTTACTCATTGTTCCACTTAATTTTTCAAATGCCACATCAAATGTACAACGAGCCGATGGTCCGATTGTCCAAACATCAGCAATAGCTAAAATTATTGATTGTGGTATATCACCACCTAAATTTGGTGGTACAATATCTTTTGTTATATTTGTATAATCATTAAAATCTAAATTATTTTGTGCAAGTGCTATTAACTTTAATCCTATATAAAATCCTCGTCGATCTAAATAACCACGACCATGTGGATCAGCTAAATTCCATATAATTTTTAATTGATCAGGTTTTAAATGTGCACGTTGAAAATAATTATTAGCTTCAATTGAACTAACTATGCCATGATCATGTGGATCAGCTTGTGCAAAATGATATTCATATAAAGCATATTGTGATTTACCAATCACCTGATCTAAATCAATTGCATTGAATTCTGACATCTGAAAAGAATAACATAAAAAGCTAATATGTTATTTTTAAACACCACCAAATATATGTCAGTGCATAATAGACGATGTATTATTTACAAGGACAGTAAAGAGAAAAAAACTAAACAAACAAACAAACATGCACATCACAAAAAAAAGAATGATTTGAACACTAATTGTCTAATTCGAAAATAAGAGGATTAGTAAATTGGACAGCAGATTTCGATGTTGATGGTGTTTCTTTTTCATTATTATTATTATTAATTGATTGAGAACCATTTGCTTGCCAAGAAATAACATCTTTAAAGTCCACAGGATTTTTATAATCATTAGATTGAACAGATGTATTTTTTTCTACTGTTGAATCATCTTGATCACTTGATTGAGAATTAAAAGAATCGTGTCGTTTACGTTTTTTCAGTTTACGTTGTTGATTTGATGATAATTTTCTCATACCAGAAACTGGACCACCTGGTTTAAATGTTTTTCTTGATACTTGATTATTAAATGTGACATGTTTAACAGGCATTGATGAGCTTGGTGTTGTACACAAACTACTACTATCGCCATCATCAGGTGATGTTATAATACTATTATTTTCATTACTACTAGTTAAATCATCTGCAGCAGAATAGGCTTCAAATACAGATTCTTCAGGAATAAAATCATTATTATTAAGTATTGGATCATTGAATGATTCAGAATATGAACGATATTTTGTTGAATTTTTTAAGATACCCTATAAATAAAGTAAACAAAATTAATAGAAGAATACTATAAAATGTCATTAGATTTTGTGAGATTTCAGAAATCCGGAAAAAAATATTTGCACTAGGTCATAATAGAACTGAGTTAATAAATAGTATAGTAAAAAAAATATGATTATACTTTAAGTTTAAATTCTCCATTTGATGAACGATCTACTTCGACTTGTGATTCCGACATATGTCGACGATACATTGCTGGATGATGAATAACTTTAGGCATATCTGTTAAACTATCTTCTTTTTCTTCTGCTATTATTTTTCCAGTATCATTCATACTATCCGATTTTTGTTCATCAGAATTTGATTGAAGTGTTATTTTAGAAATTTTATTAACAAGTTTATCACTATCATCTTTTGTTGTTTGATTTTTCTGATTTTCTTTAGCTATTTTTTTTGCTTGTTTTTTTGTTAATTTTTTACGTTGTTCATTATTTGATGATGTAGATGAATCCGATCGATTAACTAGAAAATCTTCTTTTGTCATTGCTGATGTTGATGATGGATTTGGTTTTTCAACAGAATTTGATGCATTTAAATAATTCATCTAAATATAATAATAAAAAAATTATTAGTAACATGGAAAACTTCTATGTGTGTGTGTGAAGAACTGGAAAAAAACAATGCACAGCTGGAAATGTTAAGCATGATTAAAATAAGAGAACATGTTTTTTTCTTTTTATCTCTATAATCTATAAAGTGCAAAATATATTTATTCTTTACCTTTATATCTTCACGATTAGTACTACTTGAGAATTGAGTTAATTGTTTATCATTTGACGCTTTTTTCAATAATATTAAAACATTATCATCATTGTATGTTATTTTCGTAGAATTTTCTTGTGTATCAAATAGATTTGATTGATCAAAATCAAGGCAAAGTTGATGATATAGAGGATAAAAACCTGAGCCTAATGATGATAATTGAATAGTTATATGTTGTCCATCATTTTCAATTTTTAAACTTGTTTTATCGATATTTTTTACATGTAAAACAAGTGCTAAATGAGCTAAACCTTGTTTATATTCAAATGGAATAGGTGAATAAGTTATATTTGAAGGTTTTTCATTTGATTCAACTGATTCATTAGTTGATATAGATGGAGCTAAAGTTATTGGTTCTTCATTTGCTTCTTCACTAGGAATGTTTGGATTCATTTCAATAATCGACGGAGTTTCTTTCATAACAGCTAATGTAACAAGTAATTTCCGTTGTTTTTTATCAAAACGTGCATGACTATCACTTTCACGAACAGGATAAGATAATGGAAGGTCAAGAGAATATTTTGGTGAATCACAATGAAGTTTAATTGAACGTTCACATACATCTAAATCAACATTACTAGTCGATGCACATAAGGGGAGATCAATTTCAACAACTAATTCTTTTGGACGCATTGAACGAACTTGTGGAATAAGAGAATTTGACAAATCTTGCATATCAAATTCACCACGATGAGTTATACGATACGTTGGTATAGTAAAACCATTTTCATCTGTGCATGGTGTATCTATCTGAGATGATGTAATATTAGTTGATGGTGGAGAATTTGTGGGACGATTATGACTTGATAGAACGACTTTATGATTTTTTGCATTTGATCGAGCTTTTTCAATTATATCATCACTAAGAAAATAGATATATATATATATTCAAGTGATGTCATAATATTTAACTTACGTTTCATGTTTTAAGTCTTGTTCAGTATCTTGTGGTTGATTTTCTTTCTTTTTTCTAAGGATAGTTGCTTTGGGTACGCCTTTAAATTTCATTTTTAATCTTTTCACATTATTTTTATCAATTTGACAATGATAATTTTTTTCTACAGAATCTATTGCTGATTCTTCGAGCATATTCAAAAATTTTTCATTGGTTTCTGCCATTCTATAAGTATCCGGTGAAAAAATAACATCATAAACAGTACATGATTTTGATTCATGATCAATATCTTCATGTGGTCCAGCTAAACAATGTGGTAAACTCCAATGTGCACCTTTATTCCCATTTGATTCATTAGATTTTGAAAATGATGGTTTCTCAACATGCTCATTTGTTGCTATATTAATAAAACATTTTGTTTTACCATTAATTGTTGTTTTAAGTACATGACCTGGATTTGGATGTACAAATGTTACATCTGATCCACGTTGTTCTTCAGCAGTACGAATTTCTTGTTCATATAATTCACGATTTTTTGGATCATTTATTTCTTCAGCATATTGAACAAATAATTTACGAAATTCTTCATTTTGAAAAGCATCAGAAAATCGTTTTAATTCATCACCTGTTAAATTGAGATCTTTTAATTTATCTTGAAATGTTTTGTCAGTCATTATAGTTATATATCTAAAACAATGAAATATTTGTCTACTATACGAATAAGATAGATGTAGTCTATTTTAAGATATCTGAATAAATAATTATAACATTTCTAATACAAATATATAATCAGAAAGAAAATAATAACTTCTTTCAATATCACCTTCACATAAATATGGTAAACGTGTTAATTTTTTTAAATAAAAACCTAATGGTTGAAAAATATTTAATAATAAACTATTGATTTGTTCTTCAGGTAAATCACCTTCAATTTGTATAGATTCATTTGGACGATGATTATTATTATATTCAAAATATGGTTTAAATGGAAGAACAAGACTTACAATTAAACGACCTGTTCTAGGTGTTAAATGATTACGAATTTGTTTTAGTAATGATAAAGGATTTTCACAACGATCCAAAACATTTAAACAAGTTATAATATCAAATGTTGAATCTCCCCAATGATCTGTATCAAGTACTGTATAACCAGAAGTTGATAAACGCCATTGCATTATTGGAGATAATTCCGTAACATAAACTTTTTTAAATACACTTGACATTCGTTCAGTTACCGACCCATCACCAGCACCAATATCGAGAAGACTCGTAAATTGAGATTCTTCATGAGAATCTATGTCTAATAAAGTTTTAAATTGAGTTGTCGAATATACAAACATACGTCCACGACTGAGTAAACCATTAGCTAAAGAAATTAGTTCGATAAAATATGAAAAGTTTCATATTTGATCATACCTGATGTTCGTGTAATAAATAGTGTAAGTAATGTAGTAAGTAGACTATTAAAAATTTGTATAGGAATATTATCCGATTTTTCTTCGCTTTGTTTAAGAAATTGTGTTGTATCTTCATCTTCATTAAATTCATAAAAACGTTCTCGATATTCATTATGTAGAAGATCACTACGTGATAAACGATACCATTTATTTCGATCGATATTTTTTAAACATCGATCATTTTCAATCTTATTTAGAACAGCTCTTGCCCATGTTGAACGAACAGATGCATAAGATGATTGTTGACAATACGAACAATATTCATTACTATTAGTTATCATTTTAAAATTATCTAAAAATTAAGAATCACTTTCAATTTATAGCGGAAAAAAAATATAATTATTAAATAGAAAATTAATTATTTCGAACATATTTTAATGCATCATCTAAATGTGTCATTTCTTCACTTAGTTTCCAAAGACGTTTAGCAGCTTGTTGATCAAGTGATGTTTTTGATGATGAATATTCTTTACACTCCCTATACATTTCCATTATAATAGAAAAGAAAGATTTAAGTGAATAATTTACTTGAAATATTTTCCAGTCACATGATTTAAACGACGATCAGATGCTAGATAAATAGATGTTTGAGCACCTTGTTCAGGACTTTTAGTAAAACAACACCATAGAGGTGTTATAAGAAGAAGTATTGTATTTAATATTATTTGATAATGACCTAATATATTTCGAATGACTTCAGTTCGAACAACACCTAAAAAAATATCTTTTTTTACGAAACAACTTGTCTTAAAAATTCATTTACCAGGATGAAGACTATTTGCAGTAATATTTGTATCTGAAATTTAATTAATAAAAATAAATACATTTATATATTACAAAAAAACCTTGTAATCGTCGTGCTAATTCATTCGTAAATAAAATATTTGCTAATTTACTATGTGAATAAGCATTGATTTTCCAATAGGGTTTTGTAAAATTGATATCATCCCAATTTATTGTTATATTTAAAACTAAATTTATAAAAGATTAAAAAGAAAAATTTTCATTTATTAAAAAGACGAAATATTTACAAGCATGATTTACAGATGATACATTAATAATTCGAGCTGATGGAGCTTTTTTCATTAAATCTAAGAGAAGATTTGTTAATAGAAAATGACCAAGATGATTAACAGCAAAATGAATTTCATAACCATCAACAGATTTTTCTGATGCCATCATTACTCCTAAACATAGACACAAGTTAATCATAGAAACTAATATGGAATATTTACTTACCAGCATTATTTATTAGAACATCTAATTTTGATAATCTTCCACAAAGACGTTTAGCACATTCTTCAATTGATTTTAATGAAGCAAGATCAACAATTTCAATTTCTACGTTATTACTTCCTGATAATTTACATATTTCTTTTAATGCTTCTTCTGTTCGTTTTCGATCACGACAAGCTAAAATTATATGAGCACCTGTAAAATAAAACAGAAACATATATTTTTCCAAATTATGACAGATATTATTTACCTCGCTTTGCTAATTCTATAGCTGTATATTTTCCCACTCCCGAATTACTTCCTGTAATAATTACAGTTTTTCCATCCATTCGATCGAATGATGGACATCGTGTACCGGACCAATAGTATATATTCGAAATATATAAAATTACTAAATATTCAAAAAGAATAATCTAGCGACTAACATGCCGCATATGGTAAGAGCAGCTTCACGTACACGTAATAATACTAACGATAAAAATCCACCATAGCCATGTCATTTCTAAATATTTCTATTTCGTTTATCTAAAATAAACTTTTAAGAATTATTTTGTGTTGGTATCCATCGTTGAATTTCTATTGTTTTTATTTTAGTATGTTGAAGAAATTCTTCAATATTATTTGTAACTATATCTGATAATTCAACATTTACTAAAAGTAATGTTTTAGCTGTATTTAAACATGCTCGATTAAGTCCTGAGAGAAATGACCATGTACAACTATTGATATTCCAAAAATTTTCAATTGATACACAATAATCAGCATGATTAAAATTTGGACCAAATTTATAAAGCACTAGAAAAGAAAAAGTTTCGAAGCAAAAAAGAAAATATTTTTTCTATTTACTATAATCACAACCAAATTTTAATCCACATTTAACAACCCATCCATTACTTCGAAAATAATAATAAACTGCATATTTTATTGAAAATGATTTATCTTTTAAATTAAATCGATTCCATAAATCATCTGGAGATATAATCTATTGAATATTATATTATTAATATAATAGTTGGATGTTTATCTTACTTGATCAAATTCATCTTTAACAACAAGACAACCAAGTGCATGTTGAAGAAAGATTGTCTATGAATAGAAATGATTAAAAATAAACTTCAAAAAACAATTAATTGAACCTCCTCTGGTAATAAATAAACATGTTCATAGATAATTAATTTTGTTGATGAAATTTCAATAGAACTGTTTGAAAGTGATTTTGATTCGATTGTTGAAGATAATGGATAGATTTGTTTTTGTTGAAGAATTGTTTGACATTCATGATGATTTTGTTCACGAACTTGATCGAGAGATGAAGAAAACATTTTATTATTGAGTTCAGTCAAAAATTCTTTTTCAAAATCAGAATATTGATCATCAACTTGCATTTGTTGATCATTATTTCTATCATTGAATTCCAATGATCGTAATCGATAAGGTTTCTCATATTCTTTTTTATTGTTTGGAATTATTTCTAATGGTACTGATGGTGATACATGAGTCGTAGTTCGAACAAATTCACATTTACCAAAACTACCCTATAATAAAAAATATAAAAGATTTGTCTCATTTCTTTTCTTTTGAATGTGAAACTTACATATCTAAAAATTTTATCACCTTGCTCAATATCTGAAATCATGATAAGATCATCAACAATCTTTGCTTGGTAACAAGGCCAGTGATCTTCATCTTCGTCAGTCTACATGAAGAAAAAAATTTATTTTCTGAACCTATACTTATTCTTACTTACTTCATCAATATCATGAATAAATAATGGAAATAATTTCAAATATTTAATTCTATTTGATCGAACTTTACTAAAACTTGTTGTTTTCTTCATGAATATCTTCAATAAAAATAAAAATAATAATCACTCTCATAATTGTAAGAAGATTTGTAATCAATTTCTTCTATAATAATATCGATAATATTAACATATTTGAATATTATTCAATGATCTGTATTTAACTATGAATAGAGTAATAATGAAAACAATACTATATTGTTTATAAACGATGTTAATAAATAAATGTTTGCATAAGAAACGACTGAGACATCTGGATTACTCTAGAAAAATTTGTTGTATTTGTATAAAAAAGTTGACCGTTCGATATGTGAGAAGAAAAAAACTATTATGTTGCTTCCATATAATGCATTTTCTATTTTTCTATTCGTATGATCAATGATCATTTTAGAGAAACACACAATGAGTCATATTCTAAAGAAGAACAAAACAAACGGTTAGTTGCTTAGACGTACCACAGAAAAAAACAGACAAAAACATAGCACTGTCAATTAGCGACCTCTTGGTTTAGTCATATACATATATTTAATTCTTGTATTTCCACAAGCTTACTTTAAATACTATAAATAGAATTAAATCCGATAACGGATTAAGATTCTTATATTTTTTCAATATATTATCTATTGAATTCTATTAAGAGACGATGGAAATGAAACTTGAAAACATCTTGAGGGTGTGGGTATAAGATTGATCTGATCAAGCGCAGACCGATTACCACCCACAGCCACACCCATACCCTCAAGATGGTGAAACACCAATCTTTTTTACAGTGGCTGGCCTACGCGGTTAGTCAAATAATATGATAACAACTAAGAACCTATGTCAAATATTCTATTATTCAGAATATTCTGCCTAGGTTATTGATAACTGCACACAAAAGATAATGATTCAACATCAGCAACTCTTTCTATGGATTTCAACTGCTCTAAAGCGTCCTACATACATATGTTTACCTTCATTTTGCAACCTAGATATCATTATCTCATGGTCACTTCAACATGTTATCGTTATGTGCACAATACACATACTTGCATATAAATGATATTTTGTCCTTCTTTTTACAAGCATATTTTCTGATTATGGCGTTATAGGATTCGACCTAACAGTCGTTTGATGTTTGGTTTACTTGATAATGAACAATGATCTGTTCTCAGCTGCAACTTTGCCGACGTCGATTCCAGATATTGAATATGAACAAGTCGTTTCTGAACGACAATTATTTGTTCCATTTGTAAAGAAACTCAAGATTTGGCAAGTGTTACACTTCGAATGTCTTTGGTAGTTTTATTCGAGATTGTTGTGAAGAGTGATGCCAGCTTTTTAGCTGCATCACAAGCATTTTCGACACGGTTATAGTTCCATGCATAGTACAATCAAGGCCATAAACGTGCAAAAGAGGCTTGCGATCTTGCTTAAATATTTTCTCTAGCGGAGAGAAGCATTCTATCCCCCACCCCAAATAATTTTTCAGTGAGGCGCTCATACATTAGAGAACTGCGGGTTCACATTTTTTTGGACCCGAACCCGACGCAGACCCGGTTACGCTCAGACTCGGATTCTTTTTACCAATACATAGCACCCTCTGCGTGCAAGGTAGTGACGCAGGTCCACGGTTTTTTAGGCTCGAACCCGACCGAGGCGTGAGTGTGAAGAACAACCATAGGTGCCTACGCCCACTTTCACACCCACATCCACATCATCAAAATAAATCTTCATTTTTAGATACTACTGAGTGCTCTTCTTTTTTATAAATGGTATTCATTAAGATGTTGTCGATCATCATCACTTTACTGATCTGGAATAATATCAGTGCTTTAGAATGGTGGAATGGCTGGAGTGTGCATGATAACAATGATCGTTTTCAAAGAGACCCACTTCCTATAACTCCAACAACCACAAAGACTGAATTTAAACAGCTATGGTACACTGTACTAGACGGTCCAATTGAGATGTCTCCGACTATCTATCAACAGTATATCTATATTGCAAGCTGGAATGGAACATTTTATTGCCTGCAAGCAGATACTGGCAAGATATTGTGGCAGAAAAATCTGTCTACTTTTATTAACAATGGTCGTGGTTATATTTCACGGACAAGTCCAATAGTTTACAACGATATGATTATCATGGGCCTCTCGGATGCTATGGCACAAATTCATAAACCTGGTAACGGTTCTTATGCTATTGCATTCGATCGTTTCACTGGCGAACTTCGATGGAGAAATAGAGTTTCTTCGCATTCTTTGTCTAAATTAACGAGTAGTCCTCAATTAGCGAACAATATTCTTTTTGTTGGCATATCATCAGTTGAAGAAAGCATGGCAGATGATCCAACATATCCGTGTTGCGTATTTCAAGGATCTGTGGTTGCAGTGAATGCCACTACGGGCATGTTTCTTTGGGAAACAAAAATGATGCCAGATAATAATGGAACTAGAAATGGATATGCAGGTAATTTAAAACAGAATCAAATTTATATTTCTCATTTTATGTCATACAACAACATAGGATAGAAAAGGAATCTCTGTGTTTAAGAATAAATCTCGTATGCAACAACAAAGAAAAAGTAGTATAGAGTAATAAATCTTCATTTTTCTTTATGCACACAATCACATACCATTTTACCATGTGTTTGTCTTACAAACCCTTCCATAAATCCTTTTACTTGATAAATTCTAAACAGATGGTATCATTCATTTCATTGTTTTCTAACTAAATATATTTAGGCGGCACAGTTTGGGGTAGTCAGTTTCCAGTTGATTATAAACGAAATCAAATCTATGTTGCAACTGCTAATTATTATAAATTACCACCTTTAATTCAACAATGTGTGAATGATACTGCCAATTTGACTCTCTATTCTGATCCGTGTGATCAGCCAGATGCTTACGGTCAATCTATTGTAGCATTAGATATGACTACAGGACTTGTTCGTTGGAGTCGAAATTTTGGACCCATAAATGCATACGTTGACGGTTGTACTCAGCCACATCCTAATTGTCCACCTTATCCTGGGCCTGACAGTGATTTTGGACAAGCTCCTATATTCAAATTAAACTTAACGTATAAATTTGGCGGCGAGAACCGTGATCAAGTATTTGCTGCGCAAAAATCCGGTATAGCGTTTGGTTTGGACGCTGAAACAGGAAAAACCATCTGGGTTAACCAAGTTGCTCCTGGTGGTAATGGCGGCGGAATGAAATTTGGTTCTGCAGCTGATGATCAGTATCTCTATGTCGGCAATATGAATGCTGGTAGTTTAAATTATACATTGCCAAATGGAACTATCACAACAAAAGCAAGTTGGTCTGCTGTAGATCTAGTTACCGGTGATATTAAGTGGACTACCGTTGATCCTACAACAGGTATAAATAAAACAAGCGCTAACCTTGCACTGACTGTTTGGGATCAACTTGTCCTAGTTCAAGGTGGAAGTTATTCAGGAGAAACAAGAAGTCCAATTAAAGGATGTCTTTATGGGCTGAACAAGACGAATGGTGAAGTTCTGTATGAATGGTGTATTGAAAATACGCCTCTTGGTAGTGGTGCATCTGTTGCCAATAATACTATTTATGTGGGAATTGGATATGCAAGACTAAGACCAGGAATAGACGGTATAGTTGCATTACAATTGCCTTCGACACCTTGAGATGAAAGTTGTTGCTCTTCAGTCTGTTTTTATGTTCTTTCGACTTTTTTAACTGTTGTGTTAGTCGTAATTTTAATCAATATTCTTCATCTCAATAATCCTTTGTTTTGTCGTAATTATAAAAATCATCTTGATTTCCCATTCGTTGTAAAATTGTGAATGCATAGTAAACGAGATTTATGATTTTAACTAGCATTTTTAATAAATTTTATAATAAATTGAATAAGCGTATAGAAAATGGGTTTTATATGTGTTAGAATGACTTCAGTAAATAATTCCAAGGGACTTACAATCATCGTTATCATGTTTGCTTAAGGCACTTGACGAATAAGTTCGGAATTGGATAGTTGTATAAGAATAAATCTTAACCCTTATCCACTCAGCTGGGTCCAGGTGAACGAATCAAAGTTCATGAATTGTTTTCTAGATAGGGCGTGGTTGATGAAAGAGAAGACACCCACATCCTCCAATCAGCTAGAAAATATTTTAGACTTATCTTTGAACAACTTTTGATATACAATGAATATAGATTCGGTGCTTGTTTGAGTAAGATTCTTAAATCAGATTGATTTGTGCAGTCAGCAGTCAGTTGAACATCAAGTGAAGTGAATCGATCAAGGGTGAAGGTGTGGGTGTTAGTGGATGGATGTGGGTGACGCTAACCTCTTATTCAATCCACCCTCACACCCACAGCCTCACCCACCCACACCCACACACCCACTCTCGAGATAAGTGGTGCTGCCCTTTTGTGATTTCAGTTAATCAGTAGAGTTTCTCTGTATGCGTGTGCACACATGTATTGTTTATTTCAAAGCTTTCTCTATGTTATAGAAAAATGAATAAATACGACTTATTATCTCCTTTTTACACGTCGAAGATTGTTTACACGGTGAAGATTGCTTCTCATTTGGTGAGACCAAGGATGATTTGAAGGTAGTGATTGTTGCGCAGTTTGTACAGCTCGTTCAAAAAATGAATGGGCTTCTGAGTAATTTTTCATGTTTTCATATAGTAAACCGATGTTGTTATAAGATAAAACCAAATCAGGGTGATTTGAAGGAAGTGATTGTTGTGTGATTGCAAGAGCCTTTTCGTAGTATGGAAGTGCTTTTGAATAATTACGCGTATTGTAATACACCGAACCAATGTTGTTGTAAGATGTAGCCAAATGAGGATGATTTGGAGGAAGAGTTTTCTCTTTAATAGCTAGCGATTTTTCATAATATGAAAGTGCTTTTGAATAGCTATTTGTGTTGGCATGTACCAAACCGATGTTGTTGTACGACATAGCCAAATCAAGATGATCTGAAGGAAGTGATTGTTGTCGAATTGCAAGCGCTTTTTCATGAGATGAGAGTGCTTTTGAATAGTTACGCACGTTGAAATACACTACACCCATGTCGTTGTATGATACAGCGAATTGAAAATGATTAGGAGGAAGAGTTTTCTCTTTAATAGCTAGCGATTTTTCATAGTATTTAATTGCCTCTTGATATTCTGCTTGTTTATTTTTGATCCAGCCAAGTCGATGATAAAGTGCTGCTTTTTCACTCTCCTCCATTTTTTGATCAAGTAACATTTTATAAATCTCTTCAGCTTTGACAAATTGACCCATGTTCTCTAATGCGAAACCTAATCTTGCCCAGCCCTCTTCGTCTGGAAAACTCTCTTCTCGTATGCGCTCAGTAAGTGCATTTAATTGTTCGTCCTTATCGCTAGTAAGAGTCAAACTCACTTCAAGGAGTTTGCTATTTCCATCCATTGGTTTAATATCGTGAATTCGAAACACACTGTGCATAGAAAACAACACTTCATCTTCAACTGAAATAGCACTAATGTCACTAATTAAAGCAAATGGTGTTGTTGATTGATTCGGATCAATTGTCATCACGAAAAGAATTCCAACTAAATCTCGATTGCTTGCAGCGCATTGAGCAAAACTAAGTGAAACTTTTCGAATTTTGCTGGTAGATAAGAAACTGTTAAATGACATTAATCCACCCTTTGCTTGCTTTAGTTGTTCAAAATGTGCCTGCGATAGAGCTTGCCCACGGTAAACTGTAAAGATTTCAGTAATTTGTTGTTCTTTGTGTAATTTTTTGATCTGTTTATGTAAATCATTAATGAAGAAGCCCATTCTTGTCATTATATTACCATCCATCATGCGTATTCCACGATTGAGCATGGGATACAAGAAGGTCTCGCAGGTGTACCACCATATTGGTGTTTTATCATGATATTCCCCTTCGAGTTGTTTAATATTGTTCAGCTCCACTTTATTATTAACAAAAATTTCGCGACAACAGTTCAAATAATCTTGAATATGATTGTCGTCGAATTTGATGGTAGATAAGATCTCTTTTAAGATTTGTGTATACATAAAAGATGAGTCTAGTTGATCCAATTTTTTGTCAGATGGCACAAAACTCATCGATATAGCATTTTGTTCACATTCTTGAGCTGCTTGTTTGAGAGCTTCACACAAAGGTTTGATTTCAGTGAAAACCCCTTTGATTTTAGACCACTGTTTAGCCCATTGTTCATGTTGTTTTTTGTTACCACAAAAAATAAAAATAGAGTCTACTTCAGATATATCATGTAGACGAGGTGCAATTTGTTCACCAAGATATCCTGAAATTATCATGCACACCTTATGATCTTTGATAGTTTTGAGGAATTCAATGCATTGATCACTATCAGTGTATATACTAACAGCATTCATAACATGTTGCAGTTCGGCGATAGTGTTCTGACAATCTTCATTAGCCTCATCAATGCTACTATCTAACCAAATAAGAAGAACATTTTGCGTTCTTTGAATATTGAGACGTTGATAATCAAATCGTTCTTTTGAAGCTTCATCTGTTTGTTCAGCTGTTTTGAGACTGCTCGCCATTGATTTTGTTTGCTTTGTTGTTGAGTATTGTAGGTATCGTATAGCTTGATCAACTTAAAAAATGATTAATAACAGAATGATGAAAATTTATGCACTTTTTCAGGTCTTTTTTTTCTTTTCTTTTCTCCTGCTGACGTGTCAACAGTTGCCAACAATATATGACGAAAGAAAAGTCTTTGAGTAAAATATTGTTATAGTTGAGAGACCATTAACGACACGTTGCATAGATGAAGATAGGCAATTGCCTCCTCTGATATTTCTATAATTCATGATCGTAAAAACTGCTATGTTCCTTTCTTAAAACTCTTTAATCATATGTCCGCCATCTATCTTAGTCAAGAAATTCAGAGAGAAGGTCGGTTAACACTAATTGATTGGATGGAAAGAAAAACTATTCTGTTGCTTTTCCGTTAAACGAGACAAGAGATCTTAATCAATTTTCGCTGTTTTTTTTTATTTTGTTCAAACACCTATCTTTGAGGGTTTGGGTATGAATGTTATACTTAGCTTACGATAACTCACACCCACACCCTCAGGATGGTATTTCCTATAAGACGATCATGTTTTTGTTTATAAAATTTTCCATTCCTTTGACAATAACTGTTGCTTAGTGAAATTATTGCGATTTTTTCCGTTCCGTTATGGTCAGATTCGATGTGCGAAATTCTTCCAAATAATCGATTTTGTTTTTTTTTCTACTTTGATGTGTTGCATACAGTCTATTTCAATTTGTCTCTTAACCCTTAAAAGCCGTATGTCCATTCCAGTGAACATCGGAAAATTCGAATAAAATATGCAATATAATGCACTAATAATGTTTTTTTTTATTTTCTTCGATTCATATGATTTAGTAGATTGTAAAAAAAAGAGTAAAAATAGATTTAGATATTTATAAAAGGAAAAAATG